AGGAACGGTAAAGTAATTGAGGCTGGCAGCAGTGGGAAAACAGGCTAAACGGTATGGTCCTGAAAGCTTTTTGTCCCTCCTTGTAGCTAAAAAGAAATGTGGAAAATCTGAATTGTTGTTTTGACACATGCCTCAACAGTCCATGCAAACTGGCAGTGGGGACCCTTTGCTCCCACTCAAGCCAGTTTCTGCTCCCATTCCAGTTTCAGCGCTGCAGAAGCTGGCTTCTTCCACAGCTTTTCCACCCTTCTCGATCGTATTGGTTGTTCTGCAGCAATGGAAGCACGTTTTTTGGTGTGGTTATTTCTGCTCTCTCCCCATTACTCCAGGCAGCGTTTCTGCTTCAGCAGAGAGAAGAATTGCAGCTCATAAGGAATCTGTGATAATGTGAAGGCTGATGTTTTTTGAAGGAGGAACATACTTTTTATTAGTAATTTGGCATTCCAGATTTACCGTCTGTTAGGCAGCGGGCCACTTCATGATGCTACAGGGAGTTTTCCTGGAGAATGTGAATAGACCAGCAAATCCCTGGGGTGGGGTATATATCAGACACCCCTGAAGTAGATTATATAGCAGAGGAAGAAACTTGCCATCCCAAGCTGGTGTTCTTCAGGTAAAATATTTGGCAGAGAAGAACCGTAATGGATTGATTGGATCAGGCCAAACATCCAACTCGTCTAGCCATCTGAACATAAAGCCTTCCAGATGAGTTGTGGCTAGAGCTCTCAAAATCCCAAGCCAGCATTGCAATGGGGAAGATTGAGCTAACTGAGTCTCTTTCCCACCATGATCTATCTGGCTGCATGGAAATGGCTACCTTGTAATTTGCCCAAGCGTGTTGAATTACATTGCTCTTGACGTGGAAGTTCTGTTTTGCTACCATGCTATCAGGTGGCTAATGATTCCTGAACCTACATGTTTGTGGTGGCTGTCCCCATCATACGCTTTGTGACATTTTCAAGTATCTCTTGAAAATTTAATACCACTGGATTTTAATTGAGGACCCCAAGTTCTAGTGTTAAGGGGAGGAGGCTGCACTTCTTCTCATCATTCATCAAAGTTTATAGCTCTCCTCTGGCAACCCTTTCATCAGTTTCCCTCTAAACAAAAAAAGAAAAGTCATTTTTGGCTTTCTGTAAAGGAAGGATGCAAAATACTCCTGCATCATGGGCACCCCTTTACTTACCCTCACAACTCTGTCTGCACAACTCTCTGTTGTGCTTGAAAAATCACAGCTCAAATCCAGTCTGGATCTGGATTCAACAGTGGCCAGTCACAAGCCTCCCTGCACCCTGCCCCAGCATCTGAAAATCTGAGCTTAGTGGTTCTATCCCTAGAATGAATATTATTATGATGACATTAGGCATATTATGATTATAACACTATGATTCTCACATTCTAACGTCTAGGAGAGCCTGTATGGTATAGTGGTTAAGAGTCTAAGACTGAGAAGTCCAGTTTAACTCCATCCTCAGCCATGGAAGCTCCTCAGGTGACTTGGGGCCATCCTGCTCTCTCAGACCAGATGCCTTCACAGAGTTATTGTTGTGGGGAAAATCAAAGGGTGGAGTGCCATGCTTGCAATCTTGAATTCCTGCTAGAAAGGGATCACATAAAACAATCAATCAAATATTACCTATATCTATCTCTTCCTTTGTCCATCAGAATCCTTTGACATAGCCAACAATGCTTCAAGCATTTTTGGCAGACAGTTGTTCTATAGTTTTTACTTTGGCCCTTGCAGCAAAAGTCTCGTGCAGGATATCCGTGATGATTTATAATCCTGTCTGATCTTTTTAACAGCCTTCCTACAGTTTTTAGCACCCGTTTTAGAAGGTCCAAAAGGCAGAGCATCTATTTTTTTTTCTTGCTGCTCGTAACAGAATGATCCTTATAGAACATTCTTTGCTCAAGCAATTGCTTACAATTCCTGCACTTCAGTGATTGTAATCTTCTTTAATATATATATGTATGCTGGAGGTATACCCAAAAAAGGACTGACTAGAAACGGTGGTCTCACAGTTTGAGAAGTATTAAAATGAGTTTGCTTTATTCCCATTTGAGTACAAAAGAGAAATGTAGAGGTGGTGATAATGGTAAGCCCAAATATTATTGACAAATTAAGTCAAAGGAAGGCAGGTGGGTTCTGTCCCAAAATTTGGTGATCTTGGGTGAGGCTTTGCATGGCTCTAAAAACATTTGTACTTTTTACTGTTTCCTTCTGAAAATTTGGGGATTTGTTTTAACTTATACAGATTAAAAGCTTTTTATCCATTTTTAGGGTCAATTGAGTACTGTGCCTTGTCAGCTGGCTATGAAAACACATCAATTGCCATTATTGCACTTCTTCGCTGATCGCTTTTTTAAACAGGGGGTTCGATCCTAATGTTTTGTTGCTGCCCCAGCTGTTCAATCTTGATACAGAAATGATCAGGGCCCTGCTGGACCAACCTGGGTCTGAGAGTCCATCTACCAAGGCCAGAAAGCCTTTCTCGTCTATCTAGGAAAGCTGTGCTGTAAAGTTGGACTACTGAATAGTAATGTTGGCTCCTGAACGTTTCTTCCCGTGGCACTTACACGCCCCTAGAAATCATTCAGTCAGATCCCCAAGAGTTTCAGAAAAATCTCCTCACCCTGATCTCTTGCAGCATAACCAAAGAGAGAACCGAGGTTATAATCCAGGGGACATCCAGCCCGGACCCCAACGACCCTGCTGCAGTTTGGGAAGAATATGAATTCAAGTGCAAACCAGGGAACCTGAAGAGGCGGCCCTGCCTGATCAGTCCCTACCATTACCGTCTGGACTGGCTCATGTGGTTTGCTGCGTTCCAGGTAGGTAGCCCGCTAACCAGGGCGACTCTTGGCCTAACTTGGGTATCCTGTGCTGAGATGAGACAACAGTCTCCATCGTGTTCCAGGATCGTGGTAAGATTCGTAATCTGATCCATCTATCCCGGCTGCTCTAGACAGATGTTGTTTGGAGACTTAAGGTGCCAGTCCAAACCGTGCTGAGAATCACCCAGGGTAAATCCTGTTGCTCCAGAAGAAAGATTGTGAGAGCACAGGTCCTTCTGCCACACATTTACTGACCTGGCCAGCGCAATAGAATTATGAGCAAAATTTAGACTTTTTCCCAACTTCTTTTTTCACAGTTTCTTGTGTGTCACCCTGTCAAAAAATTCTGCTCCATTTCTGATATTCCAGCTTTAGCTTTGCGAAGTTCCTCCCCGGAATCTTGAAATGAAGCAAATTTTTTAAGTTTGCAGCACTTTGGGTGAGGGGGGTTCCCAGTTATTCTGTGAGTGACCAGAACACAGTAAAAGCACAGAGTGAGAAAAGAAGAAGAATGCCCACCTGAGCGTCACCAGGGAGTTTCCCTTGCCAGCATTTCCAGAAAAAGAAGTCCACAGTGGAAGTGCCGCCGCTACAAAGCTCTGTCTCGCAACAGATTGTTTTTTGGAACTCTTCACCGCTTGACACACAACACTCCCTTCTGCTGGCGGCTTCCTAGAAAAACTTCCTCTTTTGGGACAAGTGCCCAGATTTCCTCTGGAAGCAGAACAAGGAGGCCTGAAGCCTGTCATGGTTAAATGAGGACTTTCGGAATTTTTGGCACGTTGGAAGTTTTATACACTTGTGGATCCGTCTGGATCACCCACTTCCAAAGAGCATGTTTGGGGAGGAAAAAATGCCATTGCTTAATTGCTATACCAGAAGGTCTTTTAATTGCCTTTTGCATAACACAATGCTACTTTGCAAGAAAACGTTTCTAAAACGCTATTAGCCAAATAGAATAACACCTTGCGTTTTTATTCTTTCCAACTTGGCAGAATGTTGGAAAGCAATGATGGAAGGGGCTTAGGAGTGCATCAGCAAACTCTCCGAAAACTGAACAGGACCATGGGGTGGGGGTGGGTGGGGGGGAGAGGAGTCGGCACAAGAAAGGCTGAGTTTGAAAATGGGCCAGATCCAGGACGGGAGCTGCAGAGAAAAACATCCTGCCGGGCATCTCCGTGGGAAGGGCAGCCGGACGGGCAGGACTGACGTGACCCAGAGCACAGCTATTTTTAAGGGGACAGCAATAATTTGAGGAGGTGGGCTCTGAAGGTTTTCCCCACCTTGTTCTTTCTTTCTATAAATCCCTCTTTCGTTGGGTACCTCTGTGACCCTTGGGGGCCATTGTCCTCCAGTCACGCCTGTTGTTATGTCTGGCAAAATTAGGACTCATCAGACAGATTTGGGGGTGACCTTGTCTGCCGATGGGATCAGCTTCTGCTGGTGGGGAAGAAACACCCCGGGCACTCACCCATGCCCCCCTAGTGCAGGATTCCACCCTCGTATCTTGGGTGAGGGGCTGTTCTTTGAATGCCCCCTTGTCAGAAGCTAAAGTGTCTTGTAGAGCGGGACTGGGGTGTCTTCTCTCTTGCTGATGGCTTCCTCGTGTCATCCTGTTACGTTCCAGCGCCATTTGGGAGTTTCCATTCCAGTAGCTGCACAGAAGGATTTTTTTTCCTAACAGGGGCACTTCAGTAAGGAATAGTACTGACTTAAGACTGTTTATTTGAGAGGAAGTGAGGAAAGTTAAATTACTCATTATGATGGATGTTTTAAGTAGAGTCCTCCAGCCATAAACAGCCTTTCAAAGTCTTCACCAAATTTTCTCCACATTTCTCCGGGTGAAGCAGATACTCTGCAACTATTTCTCAAGGACAGGGTGCCACCTTAGCAGTGACAGAAGCGTTTTGACTGAAAAAAGCCCCCCAGGGGTTTCCCCCAGGATTTCATGAAAGCATGGGAAACCAGGGAGGCTACAGACAGCTGGAGAGAGGAATGTGCGGTGAAAGACAGAACATCCAAACCCATGGCCATTTTGTCACTCAGTATAAGCAAGAACAACATTCTGCACCCATGAGAATTTCTCCGAATTCCTCTTTTCCTTGGAAATAAATTCTGAAAGCGAATTCTGTTTAATTGAATGGAGTAAATTACTGGTTGGGAAAAAATACCCTATAGAAAACTCTCTGGAACATTGAAACCAATGGGGATGTCTGAGAAATGGGCTCACAGATATCAGCTGGATAGATACGAAGGGCGTGCTGATACTACTGCTAATGAAGCCCAATTTTGGTGTCCTTCAGCAAAGGGACGTTGCTAGTCGTCCGAACAGATAGTGGCTGAAAGTCCCGGAGCTTTAATGCTTTGGCCCATTTAAGAAACGGAATGCAGAAGGTGAGCTTTTGAAGGGCAAAAAGTTATACAAAAGATTTCTTATCCTGCTTGGTTGCTTATTTGGGTTTGGGTGGGGGGCAATGTTCAGAACATTGCCTTTTGCTCTGAAGAGCAGCTGGGCACCCACGTCTTCATCGTGATAGCAACTGATAGGCCAATGTTGCCTGTGAAGCCCCAAATCTCCATCTTATGATTTCAGGGTTAACCCTTTCCCCAAAACAAATATAGCAATCCTAAATGATCCTGAAGCTCAAGGGCATTTAAACATAGATTTTGTTTGCAGTTTCTGGTACAAAAGTCCTACTGAAAATTATCCAGGTTAATAATTTTAAAAAAAAAACTTAAACCCTTTAAAAGGCCCCACTTTTCTTCAAAACTTCCCAGATTTTGGACCATTCATTCTGGAATTTAACCTGAGTTCCAGAAGCTGGGTGGTAAAGCTTAGGTACCATCTAATCTGGGGGGTTGCCCCCTAAATGCAGCTCTCCCCTGATCCCCTTCAGTGGCACTGAATCCTCGATTCCCTGTCTGCATGGCAAAAGATGGTGGCTATCAATTTTGCAGAGATAATGTTAACGGGTGGGCAGCAAACCCATATTTTTCGGTATGGGAGGGGCTCCTAGCCATCCAGTCTAAGTGGACAGAGAAAAACCTAATGTTTCTGGAAAGCAGGAGCAAGCATTCTCTGGAGAGGCCAGCAGCATTAGTGCAAAATTAAAATCACTTAAAACAAAACCAAAACAACGAAGCAGTCAGAAAGCACAAACGAGTAAAATCTGGCTCATAAAGGAAATTCAAGCAAAATTTAAGCCACACAGGGAATCCGTATTTTCTTCCAAGGAAGGTCTCCAAAAATGTCCAAAGGTTCTGCAGTCCTGAGAGCTAAATTGCCTGCAGCATCTGGGAAGGAAACACCACCAGCCCCTGGTCAAGGTTTTGCAGTCTTGTCCGAGGGTGGTTGTAATATCTTCTAAGTTGTCCTTGAAATTCTTCTAAGAAAAATCTCAGTGAAATCTGAAGGTGCCACCACTTCAGAACTTTATTTTAATTTTAACCACAGCCCTGCAGGTAATCTGATGATCTTCGAATTCGTAGACAGCCCCCCGCTGTTTGCTTTTAAGAAAATCTACCTGCAGAAGACTGTTGCAAAAACAACACTTGAAACTTGCTCTTCCTAAACTTGTTAGGAAGGTGCCCCGATGCCACTCACAAGGCTGGACTTGAGTTCGACCCTCATGCTTAATTTAATCATGGTGATGGGAGACTGGATACACATCAAAGATAGAAGTTGCTGTCTTGGCTG